TATATTTATATATATGTATGTATATATAATTCTGTTTCCTTCCTATATTCTTTGCTCGTGCTGCTCTGCTCATACACACACGTAAACACATGCATAACAGCATATACATACATAGTATGTAGCTATGCATATGTGCTTCTTCTTCTTCTGATTGCTTCTGCTACTGCTTCTTCATATGCTTTCTTCTGCATGCTGCAGCTACTGCTACTTCTTTTTTTTTTGGCGTGTGTGTTTGCTTGCACATTTCTGATTAGATACCATTTGATTAGATTCTGTGTGTGTTTCTGTTTGTGTTTATGGATGTGTGTGCACTTTACTTGCTGAAGCCCGCTTCACAAGCTTCCAATGTTGCGCTCTGATTGGAGTAACGCGCCAGGCACATGCATGTGTGTGTGTGTGTGTGTGTGTTTGTTAGTTTGTCTGATTGGATGTCTAATTGGGCTCTGTGTAGATTTGCTCTTTTTTGTTTTTAATAGCCCTTAAGGCGATCCTCGAGCGGCGGTTTAATCACCTTGGGCGCACTGGCCCTGGAGACGCGCATCCGTTCAGCTGCCTTGGCCAGGCGCTTCTTGCGCTCGTCACTTGATTCGCTGGCGCGCCGCAAACGCTGACGGGCGGCATTCTTCATCAGTCTTAAAGTTCTTTGTACTTCGTTTTCGTTTTGCCTGCGTACACGATTCGCCTCCGCATTTTTGGCCAAACGCAGGCGATATTCCGCTTCCGATTCCTTCGATCGTTTGTCCCGCATTCTCGCCGCGTTCCGTTCCAGACGCCGTTCCCGTGCCTCAATCGATTCGTTGCTGCGCCGCCGTGCCGCCTTCTGAGCCCGCGACGATTGGTGGCCAAGTGCGACGCCGGTGACAACGAGGCCGGTGGACAAATGCTGATGCAATGGATGCGGCTGCTGCTGCTGTTGCTGCTGCTGTGGATGTTGTTGCTGTTGCTGTGGATGTTGTTGCTGCTGTTGTGGATGTTGTTGTTGCTGCTGCTGCGGATGCTGTTGCGGAGGATGTTGCTGCTGTGCTGTATGCTGTTGCTGTTGTGTATGCTGCTGGAAGCTGTTGTCAGTGCCGCTGCCGCCGCCGCTATTGCGGGCGTTGCTGTTGGCGTTGTTGTTGCTGCTGGCTGAATTGTTGCCGCTGGCGGAGTTATTGTTGGCGCCGCTGTTGTTGCCACCGTTGTTGTTGTTCCCGTTACTGTTGTTGTTACCACTGTTGTTGGTGTTAACAGCAGCAGCAGCCGCTGCAGCAGCTGCAGCAGCAGCAACACCTGTACTCGCACTCGCCGCAGCAGCGGCCGCAACTGTCGTATAATTATTGTACTCAATTAAGCCTCGATTGCTTGGGTATAGATGATGCATGGGATTCTCATAGCTGAGATATTCCGGCTTTATGAAGAACGAATCGCGTGCCGTCAGCGGCGCCGTCGGCGAGTTGAGGAAGTATAAACGGCTATGATGATCTGTGGTAATGCTGCCTCCGCCGCCACCCACACCCGCGGACATCGGAGAGGGTGTTTAATTGTCGATGGCAAATGTATATATGTAGATATATCTTTGATGGCGCCCAAAAATTTTTGTGTAATTTCCTCTTCCTCCTCCGCACACGCACTCTCTCGCTTGTTGGCTCCGTCTTTCTCTCTCGCTCTCGCTTGCCGTATCGCTGAGTTCCGCTCTCTCTCTCTCTCGCCCTTCTCTCCAACACTCTGTTTTGCTGTATTTTCTAAAATTTATTTTTTTTGCGTATTTTTTTTTTCGCGCGCGCAATACACACACACACACAAGTTGCAAAGACGGCTCGAAAAAACAATGTGGCGAGTAAACAACAAAAGCGACATATAACTAATCAATATGGAAAAAAAGAAACTTCCAAATTCTGATTGGAAGTCACAATTTCCACGATATACACGCACACACCGACGAACACGCATGCACCAAATAATTCGCATGGAAGTGCTGTTTACTCATTTTGGCTCTGTTATGCTCAACGCTGACTTCCAGTTGTTGGCGTATGTTGCTTGTTAAAGGTGTTGCGGGGCGAGCGGCACTGCTTTATTCCAATTGTCAAAAGATAGCCGGCACGGTTGCAGAGCAACACACACAGGGCTGTAATTGTAAACACAAATCGATAACAAATATTTTCAAATATATTTATAATCAGTTATGGAGAATTACACTTTTATAATGATTCTTAAACATTTATTATTATGGAAATTATAATTTAATTATAAGAACATCATCTATGCATACATTTAATCATCTTACTTGTTGGCTTTATTAAATTTTCTAAAA